TTTTATAAAGAATATCTCTTTGGATTTGAGACTTTAGTCTTTGCAACTTTACAGATCTTCTTTATGCACCAAGAGCTTGTAACACTCCAAAGAGAAAGGAAAAATTGAAATCGCATCATATGACCCCTTTAACTAATGCAGTTGGAAAATGCAAAGTGTTACCAATTACATTAATTACTATTAAGCAACAAGTTCTTTTTCCCAAATTTCACCTTCAATGCAGACCAAAGACAAAACTAATAACATAATTGACCAAATTTGTGTTTAAATTGAATTTTACTCTCAGTACCTGTGTGCATAGCCTTTGTCGTGAATAGCTTTGAGGCCTTCACAGATGCCATGCAGAATGTGTAGTATGCGGCTCTCAGGCATAGAGCTCCCCTTATCCCGCAGCTTCTCCAGAACAGACCACAGACTTCCCTTCTGCACAGGAACAATTCAGCACATGAAACGCTTTTAAATGTCATACTGCACATCTCAGAGGTCACTGGACTCTTGGACTTGTTAAGAGGCCTGGAACAGAAAAGCAGAATAGGGCCCACTTACACTGATGTATGGGAGCAACAGCCAGGCCTCACACTTCCCGCCGCGCTCCATGAAGGTGTGTGAGGTCAGGCTGAGGATGTTGGGATGGTTGAAAAGGCGGTGCATCTCCACCTCGGTCTGAGCCTCCTTGCGGCCCTCGCGGTCATGGCAAAGGATCCGCTTTAGAGCGTAGAAGCGGCCATCATGCGCACCTTCTACCAGATCCACATAGCTGAAACCTCTAGAAGAAGCAAAGAATGAAGTTAAGATGAAAGACAATTTTTTCTTATGCTTTATCTAATAAGTTTCACTTGAGAAAACCATCATGAAAACTGACATGCATAATCACGAAAACACACACACAACTATCTATATTTCCTAATCTAGTTGTTTAATAACCTGGCATTGTATATTACAACAATCGTTAGCTCTTTGACCAATTGCTTTGTTTCTTTCTTGCAAGTCTCTGTAGATAAACGCATCTGCGAAATCCATGAATGAAAATGCAAAAGTAGCCCCTCCTGTAATTTAGTCAGTGAACAAGCAGTGCATGGCTGTTCCTTCACAATTAGACACCAAGCCATTTCCAAAAACCTTTACTCTCTTTGTTCTTCTTTGGTAGAATAAGCTCCCATCATCCACCTGATGTGCTGAAACCATCAAAACCTCTAAGAAACAACCAAAGACACACTTCTTCTACAAACATTTCACTAAATCACATCTAGAAATAAAGGAATGTAATGTAACACCCATCTGTTTACAGAAAAATCTTTCTTTCTTTTCTGCTTGTGTACTAATGTGAATCACGAGAAACTGCACATGATGTTTCTTGTTTGTAAGTAGCTATGGAGCTATTCAAGTGTCTGTTAAATATATCTAATACTAAAATGCTAATCTTTTCAGTATCATTTAAATGGTAACACAATATTCTAACATATTTTTCTTTGATATCTTTCTATCGCTGGACTCACATACTTCCAGTAAGCTTTCAAGTGTTTTAAGGACTGAATAGTCTAGCTGGCTAGTCTTACCCTTCATCTAGTTTCTGGATGAAGTAGTATCTCTTGTTGTCAAAGGTGATGGCACTGCGCGAGCAGATACACAGAGCTTGTCCCATCTTCTCTGGAGCATTGCTCAAGACCCACCATGGATGGAGGAGAGGCACTGTCAGAGATCAAGACTTGATTACTTCTATAGAATTGATTCTATTCCTTGTTCATTTATTCTGTTTTTAATCCTTTCCATATTCAGAATGGAGCAAAGTGTAGGATTGTAACTGAAAGGTTGGTAGCACAACCAAAAGTTCAATCTAGAAATTTAAATTACACTTTCGTGTGGATTAGGCTAAGACTCAGTATGTTGCATTTTTGTTTTGGTCCAATGCAAATCAATGAAATATGTGTTGGTAACACTGATCTATATTATATTCTATTATAGATCAGTGGTTGGTAACAACAACATATTTTGGAATAAATATTACTTTATTAATAGAGAACTCTATGACCTTACGGGAATGTGTCTGGAGAAATTTTCAATAACACTGTGGTTTCAAAAACCACATTTTTTGAATTTTTTTTTTATGAGTTTTTGAAGCCACCCATCTGTAACAGGGTTAAGCATATGCTCTTTTCTTGATTTCTGTAAATTGCAAGTTAGTGTAAAATTAAATTATTAATTTTTTAAAATAAATAATTATACAATATTAAAATGTACACATTATATAAGAAAGTATGAATTTGTATAGTTCTATAGAAAGTGATTAACAAGTCCAGCTATAAAAAAAATTATTTACATTTTATTATATATATATATATACAGTGGGTACGGAAAGTATTCAGACCCCCTTAAATTTTTCACTCTTTGTTATATTGCAGCCATTTGCTAAAATCATTTAA